TATACCCATGGTGCGCTGCAGAAGTGGTAGGGTATATCGTGCAAAGAATTGCAATGCCATTCTTGATCAGCAAGGAAATCAAGAAGAGAGGACTTGGCTAAACCAAAAAGAAGGACATTAATCGCCCATATTTAATATATAAAAATAATTGCATACTTTCTTACACTCATGCATCAATCTAAATAAATTCTGCCAGCAGAACCTGTTAAAAAAATTAAAAATAATTATAATTAAAGAATTGTGTTATTTTTACACACATTTTGTTGTAGAAATATGACAACTAATTGCTTCAAAGGAATTAGCAATTCGAAGCTCTATGCGTTGTACTCTTAGCGCCAACGCATAGGTGACTATACTCTTCTTGCAGAAGCGCATAGAATGAGAAAGAGAGAAAACAATCAGCTAGAGCTGAGAGCGAGATCAGACACACGCTTCTTCACCATATCTGCTCTCTTCCGTCCGCAGTATGCGTATAACAACTGCCATCTCTCTTTAGCGCTACATACATCAACCTTTTTTTTGCTAACTTCACTCACGAGTTCAAGATCGCAAAAAAGATTGTAGCTCTGTCCCGTTCGCTCGCACTATTTCCAGATTGTTGACCTGCTCTTATGAGAGCAAAGCGCCGAGTATAAAGAGAGTCGAATGTGAAGATTAAGAGATAAAAGGGTGCATAGAAATTGGCTGTTTTGAGTTTTCCTTTTTTGCTTTTTCTTTTGTCTGACCAGCAATGAATGCCATGTACATATTGTTCTTGTAATTGCCAGTCCCTTAATGGAAGGTGAGGACAAAAAGAATTATATAAAGATCACAGGGAGTTCCACTCCGCACCGCACTCTTAATTGTTGTACTGTGCACTCCCCGCACCTTTGCAAAGGGTATACCCATTGTCGTCACTCCCAACGTTAATGCGCTCTCCTGTTTGTCTTTTTTTTGTCTTTCAAATAGATTTCAAGCATCAGCTATGTGAGCATTCGCTCGCCTGCAGCAATTTGTTGCTGAATGATGTGTGAAGGACATAAAAATGCAGCCAACGAGTGGAGCGTGCGGGAGGAGTGTTAAATATATATATGTATATAGTATATGTATGTGTGTATGTGTGGGTGTACAAAGTAGACAACTGGGGGCAGCAAATACTCTGCTTGATGAACGTGCTGATAGCTGATAATACAAAGGCAACGGATGATAACGAAGAGCGACGACGCGCGTCGATTGGTGTTGACAATTTAAAGCCCTCTCCAGGGGGTGGTGTGTGGGGATCATGCGGGGATTAGTGATGAAAAAGTGCAATATAGTTGGCGAAAAGTGACGAAAAAAGTGTGTAAAGTATGAATGAATAGTTTGTGGAAAAGCTTAGGGGACTGAAAGTGAAAAAATATATAGATAGTGTTTATTTTTTAGAGGAAATGCTTACGGAACGATATACACATATATACTACGCCTTATCTTTCCTGATTCTCTCTCAACTATTTGCCATTAATTTAATTAATAAAACAGGCTTTCGCTTTGTTTTTGAATGCCAGAATCGTCCAAGATACAAGATTTTCAATTATTTGTTGACACTTTTTTGTTGCACAAACAAAACACAAAAACAAAAGTTAATTTTATTACAAGTTGAAATTTCATATTTGTTGCACTGCCATGCACTTTTCAATTTTGCTTCCAGCTAACTTTTGCTGCAGCCAGTTTCCCATCCCCCATCCGGCCACGCCCACTTATATTGTTTACAACAACTTTAAGCCCGCAGACCGGGGCTAAAAGTTTTCCCTTTGGCTGTCGTCTTCGACTTGAACTCTGTTTCTGACTCGACTCGACGCTCTGTCTCTGGCTTTGCGGGCAGACGGGGCGTATGAATAATTAAATATTCTCCAAGAGACAGACAGAGCCGAGAGCCTTGAAGACACACGGCGTTCACATATCCTTGAGCTGCACTTTGTTTACGAGTGCAGAATATCACCCCAACAATGTATTTTCTTTCAGCTCCCGCAGGTGTTTTCTTTTTTCCCCATTACTCCCGTCATTTGCATTTCTCATTAAGCCGCACTGCAACCGCGTGCCGCTCACCCCTCCCATCTTAATGAGTGGGCCAAGAAGTTGGCCGAAAGCAGATTAAATGAAACTCGCAATTTTCGGCAGAATTCTTCAAGGAAAAAAATTAAAGGTAATACAATTCAGGGTAATTTCTTAGAAGGAGACCCAAAGGAATGGGCTATAAATACACAAATTTCGGCATGAAAATAATGTTTTTTCTATGAGAATGGCTATGGAATTCTGGGAAAATTAAAGAGAAAGTTAAGGAAGTGTGATAGGACCAAGAGATACCCTGTTTTTGGGAGGGACCCATTCTTATTTATCTCTCTTGATTTACTTCCAAATATGTTCCCATTCTGGCAATAAAAATGATCCAATCGATGCAATATTTTAAATATAATTAAATAATAGCCACTTTAAAGGTTCTGTTAGTTATGGACTCCAAAGGAAGGGAAAGAGAACTTTTTGTGATATTTGCTGCTCATATTAAAAATTCAATACCCACCCATTTCTCGGGATATGTTGTTTACCCAAAAAATAGTAGGTTTCCCATATTCAGTAACCACCCAACAATGGCCTTCTAATTGCCCCGATACTCGTACTCCACTTTGTATTCGTATTCCTTTGTGGCACATTCGCGCGGGGGGCATGTTTTGTATGCCACAGAGGCCACAGTGAAAATTTACACAACAAAATATACTTAAGAGATAAACGATTCATGCAAATAAAGCAGAAAGTACCCCTAACAAGATTTTCAGCACAGTCAAAAGAAAGGAGAGCGAAAACCATGGCAAAAGTGGGGAAAAAGTGGAAAAGCTGTCTACGTGTTTGGCGTCAAAATGGCCCAGGAAGGGAAAAGCTAAAGAAAACGAGGGGGAACGTTGTGAGTTGCTGCGGACACCGCAACTCTACGGTTATACCCGATACTAAGTCAGTATGGCTCTCCTCCGGCAGACGCCGCTAATATTTAACGACACGACAAAGAGTGCGTGCGAGAGAGACAGAAAATCAGTCTGAGCGTGACGTCGGGCGCTGCGTAGCCACTGCAAATTGATTTGTTCCTTTTGGCTATAAAAATGATCTGATCTGATCCAGATTCAGCAATCTAATAGATATGGTCATTATCTATGATTCTGCGTTTTTAGTTTTCTCAAATCTGCAATATTGTGGATGCAACAGATTTTCGTCCTTTGTGGGGGCGGATGGGGGTGGGGCGAAATTCTGAGATATACGTTTTATAGTGACATCTTAAAGGAGTGTGTGCACCAAATTTGGTTACTCTAGCCTTAATAGTCTCTGAGATTTGTGGTTGCCTCAGATTTTCGTCCTTTGCGGGGGCGGAAGGGGGTGTGGCGAAATTTGGACAGGAAACGGTCAAGGTCCGACATCACAGGAGTGTGGATACCAAATTTGGTTGCTCTGGCTTTTATAGGTTCTGAGATCCTTGAACTCATATTTTGCAATTGGCAAAACCGACCATGAAACCTGTGTGTTAGAGTGAGACAGAGCGAGAAAGAGTGAAATTGTTTTCGTGATTCTGGCTGTAATAATTATACGATCTGGTTCAGATTTTGCACTCTAGAAGATATAGTCATCTTCTACGATTCTGCGTTTTTAGTTTTCTCGTATAGTCGAAATTGTGGATGCCACAGATTTTCGCCCTTTGTGGGGGCGGAAGTGGGCGGGGCAAAGTTTTGAAATATTTTTGGAGCAGTGACATATCACAGAAGTCTGGATCCAAAACATCGTTGCTCTAGCTCTTATAGTCTTTGAGCATTAGGCGCTGAAGGGGACGGACAGACGGACGGACGGACAGACGGACAGACGGACAGACGGACAGACAGACAGGGCTCAATCGACTCGGCTATTGATGCTGATCAAGAATATATATACTTTATAGGGTCGGAAACGATTCCTTCTGGACGTTACACACATCCACTTTTACCACAAATCTAATATACCCCAATACTCATTTTGAGTATCGGGTATAAAAAATTAAGTCCAAATGCGTCCGTCGCGTTTCGTCTTTCGTTAATATTTGTAACTTTTCTGCTCAGTTTCTTGCCCTTTTTCTTGTTTTTTCTTTTACAAAGTTTTCGGAAGAGAGGCGCCCCGGCAACACACAAAATTCCTGTTTATTTTTCCAGTCATGCATAAAATATTAAATTATTAGTTATGAAGTGTAACAAAAGTAAGCAGGGAAATACGAGTATGGATGGAGTTTTGCACCACAATTTCAGACGCTCTTCCGTAGCTCTTTTTACTCACAATTCTGCACTGTTTCACATTCAGTTTTTCCCCACAATTTTCCGCAATTTTTGGTTACAATTTAAAAGCCAGAACAGAAAATAATTTAAGCTGATTATTTTTTTGTTTACTTCAGTGTCAAAATTATGACAATTTGGTTGGGCCGCTAATTGAAATTGGTTTTTCCATGTTGTTGTTCCATCAGTGCCATTCAATGATTGAATTTATGGTGTGTGTCTGTGTACATAATACCCGGGTATCACTGGTAATTAGATTGTTACTCTGTGGCTGCCGTGGGTGGCAACATCCCTCAATCGGAATTATTTTACAGCAATCACTGCCACATCCTCTCTGTCCATTTGCCAATTAACTCTGTGCCGGGCGAGTCGTTAAAGGGAGTTCCTTATTGATTGGAAAAAGGAAAAGGGTCATGCCACAAACGTGCGGCCACGAGGAAAACCGACACCGCCTGCTTATCTAAGAAAAGTCTTTGGCACGCCGCAAAAGACGGTGGAGAAGCGAAAGAGCAGTAGAAAAGTGGGCGAAAAGCGAGTGAAAATGAAAAATTACACACAAAATGAAAACTAAAATTCAGTTGAATTAATGGTATTATCAAACGATGAAGGTGGCTCGACGGTTAGATGACCTTTTTCATATTTTTGTGCCGATTAAACGTTTTTTTGGTAAATTAAAATAATAAGAATAATACAAAATTGTCTCTCTTAACTGTCATTGTAACAATAAATTGTGCCATTTATTTATATATTTTGTGTGCTTATGATTTTACATTATTATAAGCTTACTTATGGAGAGGATATGGAACGAGAGGGACCTTCGGGAATTGTTTTTGGTAAAAGTTCGTTCAACATGATCATTTCTCGAATTTGTGTCTCGTTTGGTGGCATATATTCGTGTTTGCTCCTATAGACCGACGATATATTAAAGTTCAGGCGATGCATTAAGAAGGTACCATCCATTACCACAAAATCAAAGTCCAGACCGAAGAGGACTTGCAGCTGTAGAGAGAGTTTTCGAAGAGCTAGAGTGACTTCTGTCTAGGGTTCGTCTGTCATTAAGACTTACCCTTGCGCTGTCCGTTGTGTAGGGATTATCCAAATACCTCTGATCGTAGAGCGGCTCATAGAAATTAGTGCTTACATAGGCGGCACAATTTTCTGGGGATTTTCCCACTCGATAAACGGTCATTTCGCCATCCGGGACGGTAGTGTTAAGCCACCTTTCAAGACCTTTCAATTTTTTGTACTCTATGGCTGTCAGAGATTCGGAACCATTGAGATATGGCTGAATAAATCTGGGTAGATCTGATTTGTATTTGGGAGGATACATTGAGTTTCGGGTATAACTGTTATAGGGTAATATGGGCACACAAAAGACGCTGTTTGGGAAGGAATATTAATAATTAAAATTGGAAAGAGAAAAGCCCCTTTAGAGCGAAAACTTTGAATAAAGATTGAAGCGATTTTGAGAGTAGTTTGAGTGAAAACTTGAGGGAAAAATTTTCTGATACAGAGATAAATTTTTTAAACGGAACCTTTAAATTTTGTGTTCACAAACGAGCGGCAAGAGATGTTTTGATGATAATTCATGCACTTCGTTTATCCCCTCCTTTCCAGCTAACGACCTATTTGATAATAATTATAAATTAGTTTCCAGTCTTCCGCTACCGGGTATAACAAGATTCCACCACTCAACGAAAATAAAACAGAATAAAAAGGGAATGAAAAAAGGTTATAAACAACAAAGGTACGCTCAGCGAGTCAAGCTTTATGGCATGATGAAATTATACACGGTGGTCCGCTCCACAAACGTGCTCTCTTTTCGGGTTCTATTTTTCTCACTACAGCAGTAAACTATGTTCTTCTCTCTCTCATCAAACATGGCGTCAAAGAGCTCTCAGTGTGCTGAGCGGAATATAAGACCCTACGAGAGAGTTAGCGGACCACCTTGTGTAATTTGATCATGCCTTAAAGCATTTACTCAGTCGCTTTGCCATTGTTAGAACACTTCGCATGTCTCTTCACTCTCAAACTCTAAAAATTATAGGGAATGCAAAATAAGTCGGAGTGGGACAGCAAAAGCATGAGCGTCCACGAGATCAAGCGATAAGACATTTGCAATGCTACTCTCTTGCTTCGCTTTCGATTTATTGCTTGCACTCGTTGCTCTCTTCGCTATAACTTGTTTCCCGCTCTTCACTGTAAATCGTTTTGCACTCTTCGCTCAAACTAGCCGCGCTGCTCTCTTCGCTTATCTTTGCTCTCACTCTGCCACCCTTGAAGCGATTACCTTTAAGTCAGCGTATTACACAGCTTACCGAAGCTCTTATCGCATCGCTTCGCACTCATCAACAAAACTCACCTTCGGAAGGGGTTCGGCAGCTGCACCTCCTGTGCAAATTGAAGAAAAGTTTTAGCAAAATTTCGTGTCGGCAGCAAATTGAGTTCCAGGGGAAATACAAAATGTGTCCTGGCATTCTGACGGGCCACATTCTTGAGCAAATTCATGGGATACTTCCATTTTTCACTATACTCAGTGGAGGGCACGAATTTGGCATCCATTTCCTCGGGTGAAAGACATTTAAAGCCCCGTTCGCGGTTCGGCTGCATTCTGCGCACTTCATCGGTTAGATGTTCATTGTCAAGGACCAATTGCACGGACACCCAGTTTGTAAAGCTGCCGCCAAAGATCGAGCAATACTTCAGATGGTAGAAAGTATACAAGGTGGGTTCAAAGTCCTCCGGGCCCACAAAGACAGCCACACTAATGGGTGCTCGCCAGCGGACCATCAACCATTCCAGATCCTTGAGGTCGTCGTACCTGCCATGGGTGGTCAGGGTCACACTTTGATTTCCCTGGAACTCCGAGCCCCAAGCCACTATATAGTCGTGATAGATCCAATAGTCTCCATTCTGTTGCAAACGAATGCGTGGCCTCTCGAAGATTCTGGCATCTTGAAAGGTGCGTCTCATAAACGGAAGTTGGGTAAGCCGCAAAAGCACTAAATAGAAGCCTAGCAACAAGAGGGTCGCCAGAATGATCAGTTTTCCTATGAAAATTCGTCGCCAGTAAAAGGAAAACATTTTGGAATGGATTTTTGTAGAATGGAACTATCAAACAAATATTTTAGAACTATTTTGACTTGTGAAAAAAGTGCTACCAATCCAAATATTCTCTAAAGCATACCGCTAACGAAACCTGCCATTAATCTTACCTTAAAGAGAGCCAGAGGAAGAGCCAGAGGCAGCGGCCAGAAGCAATAACCACCTGCGATAGTGGTAACACAACGGAATAGGCTCATAAATTCTCTACAATTTATAATTTCACACCTACAGCGGAATGAGAGCCATAACGAGAGTGCCAAAAGGAGTGGCGGGGGTCTCTGGGCCCAACTATTTGCCAATGTTCAGTGGGGTCTGGTGGTCGGGGGGTCGGCTTGTCAGTGGCAGAAAATGACAAATGTTCGTTAGACAGGCAGACCGGGAAAGCCTGTAAGAGAGCTCCTCCTGACAGGATTTCCTGGAGGAGCAAAAGGCCTGAGGCCTCCCTCCCTAATGACAGCAGAAACGTTACAACGAGCTTTGCATGTTTGCCCAGTGTTAATCATAATATGGCCAAAAAGAGTTCTCTCCAGAAGGAGGGGGAGACAGGGGGCCTAAGAAATTGCCTAATAGGTTATGCAACGAAAAATTCCTTTTTGCGGGGTAGAAAATTCCCAAGGATTTATGTTGACACTCGCGCATTGATCTTCAGCAGAGAAACCCCTACAGAATGGATGAAAATCACCGTGATATTGCAATTACCGGGCACAAACGCATTTAAAATAAATTGTGGCAGGCATTCAGGCGTTGCAAAGCCAGTGAGAGGCATGATTTATGACCCCCAATGATGACAAAGAGGCAAGGCATGCAACCATGCAACCTCCAGGCCCCCCCTCCAGGAAAAAATTTCATTAAATTTGTTCAGTGAAAAGAAAAGCGACATTTAGTTTCAATTACATGCGAGGTGTGCGATGTAATTACCTGAGGAATGTGGTCAAATATATTTGAATTTTAAAGAAAATTTTAGTTGATTTTTTCTATATTTTTGAACTTGATTTGGACCAGATTCAAATTTTTGGCAAAGCAGGAGAACTGCTTTAACATAATTTTCTAGGTTTTCAATGATTTTGACTTGAACTTTGCTCTCTAAGAGTATGAAAAATCATTGTACCTTTAAAAGCATGCAAGTTTTCATCAATACTTTGAAATGTACTGGCAAGAGATACATTTACCTTCCCCCACGACACCTTTCTCTCGCACGTAGCCTCTCGCTAGAGTGATTTATTTGCTTACAAATTGCTTTAAATTAACATTTTTTCAAAAGTAAATTCCTAGGCAGCGCTTGTCGCCTGCTAATTGTGGAAATTATGAGTTCATGGCAGGAACAGGGGGTAACCGGAGCCGGAAGGAAGGATGGGAAGAAGGAAGGAAAGGTGCGGCACGGCGACGACGACGCCTTGGCATTTGCTTTGATGTGCGCCATGGGAGGCCGCGCGGGCACAGAAGCTGTGAAAAATGCGGCAAAGAATGTGAGAGAAAATTAATAAAAATGTTGGGAAGGATGGAAATTGAGGGAAAACGTTGCATAAATTTAAAACGAGTATTTTTGTGTGCAATTTGTAAATTATGAGTGCATTTAATAAATGAAAATAATATAAACATTTCGGAATCCCCATTTAATTACTCCACTAACCGTGGCAATGTCCCATTTATTGGCATACTTTTGTGGCCTGGGACTTTGTGTTGGCCAGAGTTTCAAATTGGCTTAGATCTGTGCCATAGTTAATGGCCCGCCAAATGGGCTTTTGTCATATGCAAAGTCGTACGGTACGGCCATTAAGCCTCTATAATGAACTAAACAAAATGTCATTTTCCTATAAAACAAAACGATATATTTATTAAACGCACAAAACTAGGGAATAAGCGAATGCGAATTAATTTTGTATTATGAATGGAAATATAACCAGAAATGATGGCAAATTTCGTTTGGTGAGGGTTTTTGATAAACCTTTAATATAATGTATATATTAAAGTATATTATAAAGTATATTAATTCGAAATGTGAAATATTCGTTGAATCATGGGTAAACGCAATATGTTATCCTAAAATAATATACATTCATCGATATTATTTTCGATAAAGTTTCGATGTATTGCAAAAAATAAAACTTTACATTACTGATATCTTTCAATAAATTTCCATAAATCTTTAAAGTCTGTTGGAAATTAAGTAGATGAATGTGTATGGGAAATATTTATACATTATAGAAAACGCAATAATCGATATAAATCGATATCGATAAATCGATCGGGTATAAATCGATATTTTATTATTGGTATTATTATATTATTATTTATTCTTCAAGAGAAATATCCACTAAAAATCACCCCTGAATAACTGTCATATATTATACGAAATAAAATTAGAGACATATTTATTATTTATCGAAAAATTTCTATTATTTACATATTTATATTATTTTAAAATTTATTATATCTATTATTCTTTATTTTACAAGAAATATATTTACTAAATATCAAAATGTCCGCTGAATAATACTTTATTATTATAGGAAAAAATACGGTGATCGATATATTGATTATTTATCGACAGGTATCGATTGTACACATATATTTTATTTAATTACGTCATTATTTATTTAAAAAAAAAAAATATCTTCTTTAAACTATAATACCCTCTATTCATAACTTTAATATGAATTAAGTAGCCGCTCAATCATTTGTTTACCAAATTATACACAATTATCTCCCAGATTTTCATTTAATTGAAGTCTATTTTCGGACAATTAAATGCTACTTTTCAAATTCGAGTATCTATTGCCAAATCCCAAAACAATTACTTGGATACCCCCTTTTTGACGTGACACTAAGACGTCAGAAGAGTGAGAGCGAGAGCTTCTCTTTTAGTATCTTCGTAATTGACCTGTTGGCCGGAGAGTCCGAGAAGCTGGGTGGGGGAGGGGTGGACTGCTACCTGCCACGTACCGTCTGCCGGAACCCACTCGAGACGCTCCTTAATTAATTAATGTTCATTAGCAACCGTAACTTTTGCTCAGTCCTTGGTCTGAGTTACACTTTCAGATACAAATCAAAATGCGTGCGGCTTTTGTCTGATTGCCACAACAACAATAGCGGCAGCAGCAGAAAATCTTCACTGCCTCTCCGACTCTGTGGGAAAACTTTTCCCCAAGTATTCTTTTGCGAAACTCATTAGGTCCGGCGGCGGCCTGGCCAATGGGCCCAGGATTCCAGAACTCGAATCAGACGTTGATAATAATGGTTAATTACGTGTTTAATTATGCATGGGATCTCTCACGCCTCGCCCTCAGACAGGGCCCCCGACCCCACCCTGCCCATCTCTGAGTTTTCCCTCAGCGGAAGTTGACGCTCAAACTCTCGTTAATAAATTATGTAAATTGTAGGCGCACAAAAATCTCTGTGTGGAAAATGGAAATTTATTCGAGGACCTTCATTAAAGAGTCGGCCCGGGGGTGGGTGTGTGTCTTGGGCCCCAGCGGAAGTCAGCTGTGAGAGAGAGCATGGATTTTTATTAAATTAAATGCAAATTAGCATTGTTAATGAATGTAATGAGGCTCTAAATAGATAGGTGCCCTGTTTTTCGTTGTATGCAAGGCCGCTATACAACACTAGGCTTTATCTGACGCTTAGCAATACTAGAAATCATTCAGAAACGCATTAGAGGCCTGAAATGTTAGATTTTATATCATTCAAATATGAAAGATTTCTTTAAATGTGTAGATTAGTCCCTTCATTGAAGAATCGGATCTTTACCAACACTGTCCTTGATTTTTAAGCTGTCTTATAACACTGAAATAAAACAAAGAAAAGGCTTCATTTTCGTTACATCCAAAAGATGTGTTGCAAGAATTGCACTAGAAATTTGATGCTTTCCAACACTGTAAATAGTCCTGAGCTACTTTACAACACTGTCAAAGAGCTAGTCCCCTAATTTCCACAGAAAACGAGGGGGAACGTTGTGAGTTGCTGCGGACACCGCAACTCTACGGTTATACCCGATACTAAGTCAGTATGGCTCTCCTCCGGCAGACGCCGCTAATATTTAACGACACGACAAAGAGTGCGTGCGAGAGAGACAGAAAATCAGTCTGAGCGTGACGTCGGGCGCTGCGTAGCCACTGCAAATTGATTTGTTCCTTTTGGCTATAAAAATGATCTGATCTGATCCAGATTCAGCAATCTAATAGATATGGTCATTATCTATGATTCTGCGTTTTTAGTTTTCTCAAATCTGCAATATTGTGGATGCAACAGATTTTCGTCCTTTGTGGGGGCGGATGGGGGTAAGGCGAAATTCTGAGATATACGTTTTATAGTGACATCTTAAAGGAGTGTGTGCACCAAATTTGGTTACTCTAGCCTTAATAGTCTCTGAGATTTGTGGTTGCCTCAGATTTTCGTCCTTTGCGGGGGCGGAAGGGGGTGTGGCGAAATTTGGACAGGAAACGGTCAAGGTCCGATATCACAGGAGTGTGGATACCAAATTTGGTTGCTCTGGCTTTTATAGGTTCTGAGATCCTTGAACTCATATTTTGCAATTGGCAAAACCGACCATGAAACCTGTGTGTTAGAGTGAGACAGAGCGAGAAAGAGTGAAATTGTTTTCGTGATTCTGGCTGTAATAATTATACGATCTGGTTCAGATTTGGCACTCTAGAAGATATAGTCATCTTCTACGATTCTGCGTTTTTAGTTTTCTCGTATCGTCGAAATTGTGGATGCCACAGATTTTCGCCCTTTGTGGGGGCGGAAGTGGGCGGGGCAAAGTTTTGAAATATTTTTGGAGCAGTGACATATCACAGAAGTCTGGATCCAAAACATCGTTGCTCTAGCTCTTATAGTCTTTGAGCATTAGGCGCTGAAGGGGACGGACAGACGGACAGACGGACAGACGGACGGACGGACAGACAGACAGGGCTCAATCGACTCGGCTATTGATGCTGATCAAG